CGATTCGTTTGTAACCTCGATTTTAAATTATTCAGCTGATGTGTGGGGTTTTACCAAATGTAAAGAGATGGAGCGTATACACTTGAAGTTCTGCAAACGAGTATTAAATGTTAAGATATCCACAAGTAATGCTGGTGTATATGGTGAATTAGGACGATTCCCGCTGTATATCAATCGCTACATTAAAGTGCTTAAATTTTGGTTTAAACTGTTAAAAACTAGTAATTGTTTTTTAAAAACGGTGTATTCAATTATGCTTGAAAACGTACAAAAGAATAAAACTAATTGGTTGTCAAATGTAAAATCAATGTTATATACGTTTGGTTATGGGTATGTTTGGGAAAACCCTTTAAATTGTAATGAAGTCACATTTATTATACAATTTAAACAGGTTTGTTAGACTGTTTCACTCAAGAATGGAAAAGTAGCTTAGAGAACAACAGAGTGTTAACTGTATATAAACATATTAAACATGACTTCAAATATGAGAGTTACCTGAGTTCTGTTAAAAACAAATTATTTAGACAATTTATTACAAAATTTAGATTATCCGCTCACAAATTACGCATCGAAACAGGAAGGTATGGACAAAATAGAATTGAAAGAACTGAAAGACGTTGTGAAATATGTAATTCTTCTGATATTGAAGATGAGTTCCATTTTGTTATTATGTGTCCCAAGTATAAATGGATTAGGAAACGTTACATAGACAATTATTATTATGAACGACCTAGCATGTTTAAATTTCTTGAATTAATGTCAGTCACAAACATAGATGTTTTAAACAAATTAGCATGTTATCTTAATTGTGCTTTAAAAATCTGATCCAACGACCTGCTATAATTTGAATTTTGTATAACCTTCACTAGTGACATTTGTTAAAAAAAACAACAACATTAAATACGTTATATTCAGAAATTGCCAGAGTTACTGTGGCGATTTGTACTCACGAATTGCATAAGTTTCTGTTACACATAAAATGTTATTCAGAAAGTTTATTTATCTCTATCTGTACTCATGCTGTAATTGATTTGACTTTTGTATTATATGTATTTTATTTATATAGACGAGGAGCGTAGAGCTCAAGTCTACAATAAAGATTTTGTTCTGTTTGTTCTTATAACAAATATGTTGATGTTCTTAGACCCGTTTTTGTGTGGGAGAGTAGCTTTAAGGAATATGCGAAGTTTAATTTTAAAGATATATACCTTTAAACAAATATATTACCTTTTATTAAACGTAAATCTTGACATAAGCAATAAAATAGCTTACCTTTGTATAGGTAATCATAATTGTCACCTTACGTAGCGTTAAACATGTTTTAAAATACAAAATTCACTTAAAAGAGTCACTCTAGATAAGCTTCGATCAAAACTGTCTGTTTAACTACATGCATGTATACTAACGGTAAATCTATTTATATATCATTCAATGGAGATATCGATATGATGGACTATTGATTTTCTGCCTTGCAATTTTCAATTGTCAGTATACAGCCGGTTCTGTATTGACATAAATATTTTAAAATTTAAAACGATACCTGAAAATAGTTCCTAAACTTATAATGCATAATAGTACCGTCATAACATAACTTATTTGTTTGTACCCCGCTTAAACTCTTTACTATATAGCCTTATTTGACGATCCTTGAAGTTAATAATTGTTGCAACATTCTCCAGGGGCGAGTAATCTATATACACTAAAAGGAACGTAATGTTCAAGTTCTCTCCCCTGATACAAATCGGTGATGAGTAATAATGCATAGCGGTGAAAAGTTACACTAAAATGTTAGTTCCATATAAACAAATTTTATTGGCATTATATAGTACATACATACTTATAGGCATATAACATTGTATTATAATTGTGGAAATTAAAACATGAAACAATGCGTATTTGTTTCAGGGAATGAAGTTTAAGCAATTATTTGCTGTAACAAACATGTATATATTAAAACTTTAGAAAACATTGTTTACATTAGTTTATACCAACATTTACAAAGACAGCGTTTTACAAATATACAATTGAAAAATTAAGAAATGATATCGGAATTGTCTGTTAAACACCGGTGCGTACAAACTGACCACTAAGGCCGTATGATTTTTTTTTCTCGTTTGTATAGTTGGCGAACGGCAAAAAATGATATCCGTACAATTTTCGAATTTAAAATCGTGCTGATATGTAGTGCACGAGATAAAAGTGGTAAAGTGACATTATGCCCATCTAAAGGTATATAGTGAGTGAACAGGTGAGAGTCAAAATAAATTTTCATTTTGCCATCATTCCTTTTGATTTAATAATTTACTTCGCAAAAACAATAAATAACCACCGGATTTTAATGAAATTTCAGTGAATGTCATTTAGAATTTACCTGTAACTTTCAATTTATAAAAAGAGTGGGGCAGTCTTTTTATATTTAAGGCATATTTCAAAGTATATCCGTAACATTTTCCAATATAATCTGTTGGTCAAACATCATTTAAACAGTCAATCTTTTGAAATATAAAGTCAATTAAGCTCAACTTCACATGAAAATATAAGCATAATGTCACTTTAAAGTACCCTGAAATCAACATTGTTGTAAGCGTCTGAAAGTAGTACTAGTATTTTATAAACTAGATTTATGTCACGGTTCAGAACTGTTCACTATTTAGGGGAGAAGATGTGTAAGCGGCCGGATAGCTCAGTCGGTAGAGCCGCGGAACGGTATTCCGAGGGTCCCGGGTTCGAGTCCCGGTCAGGCTGCACATTTTTCTCACCCTGTGACATTTGGCACCCAACGGGGGACCGTGACTGCTTATAGCTCAGAGTTCAATTAACATTGCTCTGTAGCTTTGTGAAATTCGAGGACGAATTTCAATATTGTGGTGAAGTATGTCACGGTTCAGAACTGTTCACTATTTAGGGGAGAAGATGTGTAAGCGGCCGGATAGCTCAGTCGGTAGAGCCGCGGAACGGTATTCCGAGGGTCCCGGGTTCGAGTCCCGGTCAGGCTGCACATTTTTCTCACCCTGTGACATTTAGAATATATTTTATTAACAATTTTCAGAGTTTATAGATTAAATACCGGTACAATGAATAAATTATATTTTGCAAATGACGTACGTTGTGCTATTTATCTTTTTTAGAGTGTGCGTGCGTCCTTAACAAGTTTTCCCATATAAAAAATGTATGCCTAAGTATTTGAATAATTCGACTATTTCTAATATCGATTTATTTAAAGTCAAGTGGTTATAAGTGCGTCTTCCTTTTTTTCAAATTTCACATTTTTTTAATCTTTTTTAATATCAACTTAAATTCTCAATCATAACAAGTACTCACCAGGTTATTTCAAATATTTGACCGAACAGCTGTTGATGATTCTGTAAATAAAACAGTTTCGTCATCAAAGAAAATGAATAAATAATTTCTATTATATACTAATAAAAGAAGAAGAAGTTTGTTCAACACTCCATTAGGCTAAAAAGCCCATGAGGATAAACATAGCACAAATATCTACATACAACTAACAGTGCATGAGCAATGAGAAACATGTTTGAAATAGAATGCGTATTTTCATATACCGTATTTACACTGTAAAATTTTATTTTTTACAGCAGTGACACATATTTTCCGGATTTTCACATGTGTCTTGCCGGACTACTTTCTTCTTAATTCAGTCAATACACAGAATTAAAATAGAAATCTTAAGTATTGTAAGGTCTAACATGATACATAGTATATAATAAATAAAACATTCAAGTTTTTTCTAAAAATACTGGATTTATTTTCATCTTGTGAAATGAAAATTATCATATTTCACTTGTGGCTACAGCGACTAGTGAAATGTTTATTTTCATATCACTCAATGAAAATAAATACTGTATTTAAAGAAAAGACTTGAATATCTCTGAGAACGAAAAGCGCGAAACATGACAGTACGATGGTAACAGTGCGGCAGTACGATGGTAACAGTGCGGCGGTACGATGGTGACAATACGACAGTACGATGTCGAAGCACGATGGTGACAGTTCGTACTGTCGTACTGTCACCATAATAATGTCGTACCGTCACCTTAGTAATTTCGTACTGTCACCATAGTAATGTCGTACTGTCACCATAGTACAGTAATACTGTCACCATATTACTGTCGTACTATCACCATAGAACTGTCGTACTGTCACCATAGTACTGTTGTACCGTCACTATAATTATGTCGTACTGTCACCATTTTACTGTCGTACCGTCACCATAGTACTGTCGTACTGTCACAATCGTACTGAGGCCGGATGGAGTACGATATGCTTTTGATATAGACATGTTGGACTCTGAAAATGAAAACGAGGTAATATGGGGTTTGATATGCATTTGGTATGTTAATTTCTACTCTGGAAATGAAAACGAGGCTAATTTTTAAAACAAAAATCATATCCCGACCGATCATTAGTTTTATTGAAACATCACGTGGTTCAAACGCTTTAAGTTGATTGGTTATGAACTAAATTTTTGCGAGTTTGATAAAGATTAATACACCAAGGACAACAGTCCTTATATCGACCTTTATATTTTTTTAATTAGATCGCTAACCACCAGAATATGTTGAGCAAATATGAAATTAAAGTGCGACTACCCATGCCTTTTGAAAATACAAATATTTAGTTTCAACGGGTTTTCTTTTTATCAACTGTTTTTGTCAATATTTTCAAATTTGATGACGTTAATAGTTTGAATAACAATGACAAATCAATACGCGTGCAAACAGTACAGTGTTTACACTGAACAAAACAAAACAAAAAAAAAAGGTTTCTTTTCCCGGAACGAATATGAATTTATAATAGATATAAAAGGATGAAAGAATACGTACGTGTTTAAACAGCAAGACTTGAGTAATTTAATAATGAATAAAACAAATATGCACAAGGTAAATTAGGCGTTAATAAGCAAATATAGTATATTGAGATATTGAACAATAGAAGACATTCAAATTTGAATGATTTAATTGGTTGATTTAAGTAACTTTACTTTATTTAATTCGATGGTCAGTGTAATGTTCAATCTAGCCTTGTAATTTAAGATCCCACAACGTGCTTAATTTTCATGATAAAAATGAACATGATATTAAAAGGTAAGTAGTTTTTCTGAATTGTTCATATTTCAATCATATTTTGTTTTTCTTCCGTATTTTTCAATATAAATCACATTGACATCAAATTTAGTGACGAATTTTATGGAAAAAAGTTTAGGCTCATTTTAATATACTGGCAATTTACAAACAAAACACAAGCATATTGATGAAAATATTTCTGTCAAATTGACATGGATTATTATTATCCATACCGACAAAATTACAAACTTTTCGACAACATTTCTAGCACATTGAAAATATTACTAGTACATGGGCGACAATAGACTATTTTTACAATATGATATTTCCATAGAAACGGAAGTAGCATTTCGCGCATGCACAAAAAAGCATTAACGCTAGAATACATTTTATCAGTATTTAAAAATTCTATTATCAAATTGATATAATCTAAAAGATGAAACATAAGTTTAGAATATTTTTTTTTTCATTTTAAAAATGTAACAAAATTCGTAAAATTTTAAAGAAGCATTTTTCAACAAGAGCAATCTTACTTTATGATCTGTTAACGTTGTGAATGAAAGTGCGTGTCGTTAAGAGGCAAAATCAGTAAAAATGACTTTAAGCTTATAAAAACATTAAATAAATCATGTAAATAGGAGATTTGTTCATTTTGTATGTAATATCAAAATATATACTACTTGAAAACATGCTTATGCTTCCAAGATTTGCTCATATTTATATAAAAACAAATTGTGTTGCCCTAGAATAATAAAACTCGTCATAATAATTATAAAATATTTCAGTGCTCAGCGTCGGAATATTTCTTCCAATTGTCGCGTATTCTCTGACACAGCTATCGGACAGATTCCGGACAGAATATGTCTGTGACATGGACTATGGACAGATTTTAGAGGAGACCGGTAAACGCAGTGTATTGTCTTGCGGAGGAACATGTTCCCGGAGAACGGACTGTCGATCCTTTGTTTTCAATCCTCAGGACAAGATGTGCCGATTGAACTCCAGGATTCTCCTATTTCCGACCTACGGATGTCCCGTCGTAGTCAAATATGTGAGTAAAACAACGTTTTATTTAAAGGGACTCCAAGTTTTTTTTTACATGACAGGACTGGAAAAATGTTTTCGACAAAAATACTGTTTCAAACAGTGAAAATATCAGGTTTTTATTTCACTGATATATTTCTATAAACCACCGAAAAGCATCTGATAAATGCATATAATGATATGGTTTATTTAAATCTAATAACATTTTATTTTCAAAACAAAAAAAAATTCAAGTATTCAATGTTATATATCATTTCGTTGATAGCATGCTTGTTTGAAACTCATTAGACCAAAATAGAACTTAGGAGTGATGCCATGTCTTTCTCTAGGGTTACTTTTTGGCTTCAAATCCCGGATTGACAACACCACCACCATTTGTAGGGAAAATTGTTGGCGAATCATGCATTGATAGCACAGAGTGCGTAGAAAATTTTACAGAATGCAGTGTAACTGATGTGTGTATGTGCCTACCAGGATATGTTTACGATTATACAAACCGCACATGTATTTTCATAATGGGTAAATTGCATTTATTTCTTTAAAATCTTATTTAAAAAATCGGAGAACCTTTTGGCAACGATATAATTATATGAAAAGGTGTATTCAACTTCAGCTTAAAAGAAGATAACCTGTGTTGAAAAGAGTATTGTGTGACCTTAAGGTAGTCTTACTGTAATGCTTTCCCGCCAAAGAAATTCTAACATCGGCCAATACCGTAGCATATCGGTTATTTCCGGAACATTATTTTTTCAAAATCATTGGCTAAGATTATTTACAATCACTCATCCTTTATTGCTATGTATGGTTATAAACGGTTAAAGATTACTTTGTTATTATAAAAATAACGTTCCGGAAATGACCGATTTTTTACGATATTGGACGATGTTGCAATTTTTAGGCGGGAAAACATTAAAACGAAATATTATATTTATTAAAAAAGAATTCATTCGAGACAAACCTTTTTTGGCCGTTGCTGGGTAAATTTTGAGTTTTCTATTTGTTGTTTTGATTGCAAACTATCTGATTGAAACCTAATTTGTACATCATATTTCACTTGTGGCTACAGCGACTAGTGAAATGTTTATTTTCATATCACTCAATGAAAATAAAAACTGTATTTAAAGAAAAAAAATATCTCTGAGAACGAAAAGCGCGAAACATGACAGTACGATGGTGACAGTGCGGCAGCACAATGGTGACAGTGCGGCGGTACGATGGTGACAATACGACAGTACGATGTCGAAGCACGATGGTGACAGTCCGTATTGTCACAATCTTACTGTCGTACCGTCACCATAGAACTGTCGTACTGTCACCATAGTACTGTCGTACTGTCACCATAGAATTGCCGTACCGTCACCGTAGTAATGTCCTACCGTCACCCTAGTACTGTCGTACCATCACCACCGTACTGTCGTACCGTCACAATAGTAATGTCGTACTGTCAGCATAATACTGTCGTACTGTCACCATAATAATGTCGTACCGTCACCTTAGTAATGTCGTACTGTCACCACAGTAATCTCGTACTGTTACCATAGAACTGTCGTACTGTCACCATAGAACTGTTGTACCGTCACCATTATAATGTCGTACTGTCACCATATTACTGTCGTACTGTCACCATAGTACTGTCGTACTGTCACAAATATCGTACTGAGGCCGGATGGAGTACGATATGCTTTTGATCGATATAGACATTTTGTACTCTGAAAATGAAAAAGCGGTTATATGGGGTTTGATATGCATTTGGTATGCTAATTTCTACTCTGGAAATGAAAACGAGGCTTATCTTAAAAAAATCTTATCCCGACCGATCATTATTTCTATTGAAACATCACGTGGTTCAAACGCTTTAAGTTGATTGGTTATGCCATGAATTTTCGCGAGTTACATAAAAGTTAATTCACCAAGGACAATAGTCCTTATATCGACCTTTATATTTTTTTAATTAGATCGCTAACCACCAGAATATGTTGAGCAAATATGAAATAAAAGTGCGACTACCCGTGCCTTTTGAAAATACAAATATTTAATTTCAACGGACTTTTTATCAACTGTTTTTGTCAATATTGTTTTTATATTATGACGTTATTAGTTTGAATAACAATGACAAATTAATACGCGTGTGACAAGTACAGTGTTTACATTGAACAAAACAAAACAAAAAAAAGGTTTCTTTTCCCGGAACGAATATGAATTTGTAATAGATATAAAAGGATGAAAGAATACGTACGTGTTTAAACAGCAAGACTTGAGTAATTATGAATAAAACAAATATGCACAAGGTAAATTAGGCGTTAATAAGCAAATATAGTATATTGAGATATTGAACAATAGAAGACATTCAAATTTGAATGATTAAATTTGTTGATTTAAGTAACTTTACTTTATTTAATTCGATGGTCAGTGTAATGTTCAATCTAGCCTTGTAATTTAAGATCCCACAACGTGCTTAATTTTCATGATAAAAATGAACATGATATTAAAAGGTAAGTAGTTTTTCTGAATTGTTCATATTTCAATCATATTTTGTTTTTCTTCCGTATTTTTCAATATAAATCACATTGACATCAAATTTATTGACGAATTTTATGGAAAAAAGGTTAGGCTCATTTTAGCATACTGGCAATTTAGAAACAAAACACAAGCATATCGATGAAAATATTTCTGTCAAATTGACATGGATTATTATTATCCATACCGACAAAATTAAAAACTTTTCGACAACATTTCTAGCACATTGATAATATTACTAGTACATGGGCGACAATAGACTATTTTTACAATATGATATTTCCATAGAAACGGAAGTAGCATTTCGCGCATGCCCAAAAAAGCATTAACGCTAGAATACATTTTATCAGTATTTAAAAATTCTATTATCAAATTGATATAATCTAAAAGATGAAACATAAGTTTAGAATAATTTATTTTTCATTTTAAAAATGTAACAAAATTCGTAAAATTTTAAAGAAGCATTTTTCAACAAGAACAATCTTACTATATGATCTGTTAACGTTGTGAATGAAAGTGCGTGTCGTTAAGAGGCAAAAATCAGTAAAAATGACTTTAAGCTTATAAAAACATTAAATAAATCATGTAAATAGGAGATTTGTTCATTTTGTATGTAATATCAAAATACATACTACTTGAAAACACCAGCTCTTATGCTTTCAAGATTTGCTCATATTTATATAAAAACAAATTGTGTTGCCCTAGAATAATAAAACTCGTCATAATAATTATAAAATATTTCAGTGCTCAGCGTCGGAATATTTCTTCCAATTGTCGCGTATTCTCTGACACAGCTATCGGACAGATTCCGGACAGAATATGTCTGTGACATGGACTATGGACAGATTATAGAGGAGACCGGTAAACGCAGTGTATTGTCTTGCGGAGGAACATGTTCCCGGAGAACGGACTGTCGATCCTTTGTTTTCAATCCTCAGGACAAGATGTGCCGATTGAACTCCCAGATTCTCCTTTTTCCGACCTACGGATGTCCCGTCGTAGTCAAATATGTGAGTAAAACAACGTTTTATTTAAAGGGACTCCACTTAGGTATTTTTTACATGACAGGACTGGAAATACTTTTTCGACAAAAATGTTCCATTTGATGTAGATCGAGACCATTAACTTGTGTGGAAAATTTCAGATCATTCGCTTACTCTGTTTTTCCCAAAATAATTATTTTAATTATGAAAAATGACCCAAATTTTTAAAGCGTTGCAACGCTTTTCACTCCAATCGGGCTAAAAATAGCACAAAAATATAATTTTCAATTAATTTCTTAGCATATTTCGTAATTATCTTTGCATATATTTCAAATGTAAGGCCATGATCTATGTAAGAAATTAAGAAATTAAAATTTTGTATTTTTTCTATACTTTTACACCTCAGTTGAGTTCCTTTAAATATAAAATATGACATTTGTTTAAATTGATATAACATTCAGCGTTTGAAGCACGTGATGCTGCAATAGAATTCATTATTGGATCCAATCTTATCAATTTAGCCTCGTATTCATTTCCAAAATCCAAAACATACATATCAAATGCATATCATACCTAATATAGCCATATTTTCATTGTCAGATTCAGAAATAATGCATATCGTACTTCCTCTAGCTTCATTTTCATTTTTCAGGGTCAAAAATTCATATCATTCACGTATTGTACCCTTAGTAACAAAGTTCTGTCAAAAAATGTGAAATCAATGGGTCATTATACATTGTTGGCAACAATACTGCTTAAATTGGACTCGTACACAGCTGTAAAACCTATATCTGACTCGACTCATTGTCCAATAAACGATTTCGTCAAATAGAATCCAGTATTACACTCAACAGCGGATAATAACTTCATGAATAAAACATGATTGTAAATCATGATATCTTTTGAGTACGTTTGGTATATTAACGTTTTATATTTGCGATTTGACTGAATTTAGTTAAAAAGTAGTCCGGCAAGTTACCAGTCAGTGAAAATACGGAAAATTTGTTTCACAGCGCGAAACATGAATTTTTACAGTGAAAATACGGAAAATCAAAATACGCACTTTATTTCATCAATCAATATTTTATTTATATAAAGGATATTTGTTTAGTTCAGTGTAAGATCGGGACATTTTTCACCGAGTGAGCACCAAAAGGTATATTTCACGAGTTGCGCAGCCTGGAGTGAAATATGAACTTTTTGTATTCACGAGATGAAATATATTCCGATCTCACAATAAAGCAAACAATTTTTTTATTATATGCAAACAAACGTTTAAAAAGACATTTTAACCTAATGCTAAATGAAAACCGAACCAAACAATAATACAACGATGTCAAGTCAGTAAGTTGGTTTCCAGTACTGTGAACGCTAGTATTTCTCTGAAACAACGTGACGGGCTTAAATTTAAAACTGTGAAATATATCAAATTGATAATTTCACTGTTTCAAACAGTGAAAATATCAGGTTTTTATTTCACTGATATATTCTATAAACCACCGAAAAGCATCTGATAAATGCATATAATGATATGGTTTATTTAAATCTAATAACATTTTTATTTTCAAAACAAAAAAAATTCAAGTATTCAATGTATATTACATTTCGTTGATAGCATGCTTGTTTGAAACTCATTAGACCAAATAGAAATTAGGAGTGATGCCAGTCTTTCTCTAGGGTTACTTTTTGGCTTCAAATCCCGGATTGACAACACCACCACCATTTGTAGGGAAAATTGTTGGCGAATCATGCGTTGATAGCGCAAGAGTGCGTAGGAAAATTTTACAGAATGCAGTGTAACTGACGTGTGTATGTGCCTGCCAGGATATGTCTACGATTATACAAAACCGCACATGTATTTTCATAATGGGTAAATTGGCATTTATTTCTTTAAAATCTTATTTAAAAAAATCGGAGAACCTCTTGGCAATGATAATAATTTATATTAAAAGGTGTATTCAACTTCAGCTTAAAAGAAGATAACCTGTGTTGAAAAGAGTATTGTGTGACCTTAAGGTAGTCTTACTGTAATGCTTTCCCGCCAAAGAAATTCTAACATCGGTCAATATCGTTAGCAAATCGGTTATTTCCGGAACATTATTTTCAAAATCATGGGCTAAGATTATTTACAATCACTCATCCTTTTATCGCTATGTATGGTTATAAACGGTTAAGGATTTTTGCATGCCGAAATATTGTTATTATAAGAATAACGTTCCGGAAATGACCTATTTTTACGATATTGGACGATGCTGCAATTTTTAGGCGGGAAAGCATTAAAACGAAATATTATATTTATCAAAAAAGAATTCATTCTAGACAAACCTTTTTTGGCCGTTGCTGGGTAAATTTTGAGTTTTCTATTTGTTGTTTTGATTGCAAACTATCTGATTGAAACCTAATTTGTACATATAATTAATCACTCGGGCCTATTTGCTTTCGAGAATACACACTTGCGCATTTGAATCCGAACAGTGCATAAATTTTACAACAATGCACTTAAAATGTATATCTATTTAATTTCTTATTTTATAGACTGTCCAGCGTATGGAATTACGTTTCAGATGTGTCAGTAACGACCGAATACAGGCTCATTGTGGACATTTCTAAACAACGTGACGGAGGACGAATGTAGAGCTATATTTTGACCACTAACACAATTCACATGCCGTATATTTGAGTTCAGCTATAAGAGATATGGAATGTAAAGTTTTTTCCTTAGACACAATTCCGACAACAAACATAATTGATGGATTACGAACAAAGAGTACGAAATTTTTTGTCTACGCACGTGACTGTGCACTTCGGCTACGACCATGTTTTACGGCATGTGACGTCAACAGTGATTGTTTGGAACGTGATTCGGTGTGCTTTCAGGGTATTTGTCTCTGTAGGGTTGGCTTCAGCTATGATTCCGAGCAGAGGAAATGTGTTTCAGGTACATTACTTACACTATATGTACTCTTTTCAGTTTCAGCCATTTTTTTTGTTGTTATTGTTGTTTTTGTTGATGTTGTTGTTGTTTGTTGTTTTTACCCAATCAATGATTACTGCGCAAATTCTGATGATTATTATTCATGACCAGGAAAAAGATCATATTATTCATTTAACGATGGTGGCAATATGGCTTGAGTTAGATACAAATAATATTATTGAAAATTAAAACATTATACGCGGTAAAAACAAGAGAACATTTCCTTTAAAATGTTAGCCCGCATACAAAAGGTCATTGTTCATAAATATCAGCTGATGTTTATATACACCAACATTTTTTATAGTTTTATTTTTTAATTGAAAAGGTACAGACCATCCTGCTGTCAAATTCCCATTACCTTTTTTCTATAATTGTTTTTTTCTTTTAGAGAATGATCTTATTTGGTAACTAAAATAAATAGATGTTCTACTGTTTTAATTGATGTGTTTTATAAATATGCCGTTTGATGTCCAACATATGAATGTTGTGCGAAGAATAATAATTCAGAGATTATTGCTGTGTAACATAATTATGAATAAAAAATATATTTCAATTGAGATAAGGAACAAAACGCATCAGTTTTTTTATGTGATAATTGCATAGCCGTGCCGATTTTGCGACTCCGTAAAAATGGTATTGCACAACCGTGCATATATTTCGACGTGACGTCATTTGCGTTGTATATAATAAAAAAATAGCGTTAAAACGCGCTATTTGTTAGCGTTACAGTATAGGCGCGTCATTGGAAAAAAAGATTTTTTTCCAATTTAAACACTCTTTCTTTTTTT